AAATATTACTTATATAAATGTTTGAATATTTTAAAGGAAACCATTATTAGCTATCTATTCTCTATAAAAATTTATTGGTTGCCAAGGTTCTGCAGGTTCATTTTGATGGTCACATTCTATTTGATGGTCACATTCCATATGATTGTCACATTCCATTTGAATAGTTTTATTCTTATCTAAAATGTCATAATTACTTATTAATTGATTTTTTTTGTAACCAACTCATAAAAATAATACATTTATACATAAAGTTCTATCCAAAATAAAGTAATATCATCAAACCCTCTGAAACGAATAATAATTAACAACATGTAAATTAAACATTCAGCATTTTAACTGTAATAACAATTGATTAAGACACAGTTTTTGGGGATTATCTTTTGGCTGCAGTTTAAAATAAGTCATATTCGTGGTGATAGCATGTTTTTAAAATCCTTTTATCAAATTCTTATCACCACTCAAAAAGTCAAATAGAAACACACAAAAAATCAAATACAAACACACAAAAGCTTCTCAAATCATTTTTTACCAGATTCATACAGAAAACACTTGTTCTATTTGTATATAGACAAATTTAAAATAGTTTAAATCAAGAATATTTCTGCATTCCTTAACCAAAATATCAAGAATATTTCAGCACTTCTTAAACAAACTTGGTTTGAAAAAAACAATTTTCTAAATTTTCAAATAATATTCTTTTTTATTATTATTTTTATCTCTACCTATGATAGGAAACATAAAAAAATTTATGTTTTAAATATTATCCATTCAGGAAGTATATTATCACATTCTACACCAATCAACAAATCTGAAAAATGATCAATGACTTTATCGATAGCTTTTTTGCTAAAAGTCATTTGCATTTAATGGCCATTTAAAAACATCAAGTAAAGATAAATGCACAAATAGTAGTGATTTTTGGAACAATTGAAAATACAATTTCATATTTTTAATTTTGTACTGTTTAAGTATAAGTTGTATATTGGGAAAGTTTAACGTGTAACGAAATTAACGTTACATGAAAGTGAAATGTTTTTATAACAATACCTTTATACAGGTTTCTATAGTAAGGCATGAAACTTCTGTCATCAAGCAAATTTTCAACAGAATACTCAAGAAGAAATTGCAGTTAGGACTTTATCTATGTAAATTCTTGAACTATTTTTACCACTTTTACTGGATCGTGAACACTGCTTTGAAAACTTAAACTCAAATACCTAAGGGAATATAAAACATCAAGATAAAATAGAGACAAAATAAACTTTAACTGTCTGTTGTAGCCAATGATTCAATTTGTGTCATAAATACTCCATAATTTTCCAAATTAAATATTTATACATAAATACTCCATAATTTTCTAAAGCAATTTTCATTGATTTATACTTATGATCAATATATTGCGCTTCAAAACCATTTCTTTGTTTCGGAATGCGAAAAATTTTAAGAAAAAACTAAATTGCAAAGGTGAGAAAAGCACAAAATCACAATACACTCAATTCGAGCCCTGATTTGAATAGTTTGTTTTCAAATTTTGAAAATTTTCATAATCAGTAAAACTTTTATTCACAAAAAAATTAGAGAAACAAAATAACAGTGTGATTAAAGAAGTACAATAAAAAAATTATAATTTAATCCATTAATTTTATTAAACAATAGTATAAAAATATATAAAATTGAATTAGAAAAGTTGGTAATTGTTTTTTGAAACAAAAGTTTGTTGATTGCAAGTTAATTTGCAAGTTGATTTGCAAATTGATTGCAACTATGAAAAACTATTACTAGAACCTAATCAAAAACATTTAATTTCATGAAAACCTTTATCAAAAATATATAAAAAAATATGCGAAAATGTTGATAACCAACACTATCAATCAATGTTGATAACCAATCTATCAGGGTGGATAGCTTACCTAGCCCTTAAAGTCTGTTTTAGATTCATTTTAAATAAAGTCATTTACTTTTAGTGAAACCTGAATGACTATATTTATATATAAACATAAATATACAGCCCATTGATAGATTTGTTTTATGGTAAAGCCGACGAGATGCTGACCTCTAAAAGATTAGAGTTGGCAAATTGAAGATGTTTAAAAATAAAAGCAAACACTATTAGAGTTTGCTTTAATTTTTTTTTTGGCAATCCCAACCTAATTGCTAACCTAGAAGTGTTTGAGGTCGGCGAAAAATTGGCAAACTTGTTTTATGGTAAAGCTGACCAGATGCTGACCTATAAAAGATTAGGGTTGGCAAATTATTGGCAAATTGAAGGTGTTTAAAATAAAAGCAAACACTATTAGAGTTGGAAGTTACTGAAAGAGAAAAGATGAAGTGTAGGAAGCAAGATAACGATTAAGAAGTGACTTAAAAAATTGCAAACGAATCAGGAAAGTAAGATGAAGAGAGTAAATTCCAAAGAACTTTTACAATGTGTTTCTGCACCTTGCCTAAAAGAGAAAGGGCATCATTTGAAGATCCGCTCCAGATATAGCAACAGTATTTCATACAAGGACGGATTTGAGATTTATAAAGATAAAGAAGAGAATCTGGAGTAAGAAAGTGGGAAGCATGATAAAGAGATGCAACCTTAGCAGATGCTAACTTTGCAATAGATTTGATATATAGTTTCCAAGAAAGATCAGAAGTAAGATTTGATCCTCGAAGATGAAGGAAAAATGACTCAATGAGTACATTACCATTCATAAATACTCCTATATTTATGAATGGTCTAGGAAGATCTAGACTGTTGCAATAACAATTAGCCAAAAAAAATTGAGTTTTATCTAGGTTAAAGTTCAGCAGCCACTAAGAGCCTTATGCTTTAGCAAAAGTAAGATTCTTTTCAAGCCCAAATGATCTTTTTAGACTCAAGATGAGAGATCAATTGTTTCTTAATTAAAGACGCAAAAAACTTGCTAATGATAGTAAGAAAACTATTGGGACAGTAGTTAGACGAGTCAGATCGATCTCTGGAATTTTGAAAATAGGGATAACAGATGCTGCCTACCAGCAGACTAGAAAACAAGACTCTGATAAGCACTTGTTAAATAGCTTTGAAAGTATAGACGACAATCCTGAAGAACACTGCAAGACTAAAACTGGTATGTTGTCTGAACCACAAGCTGTAGAAGCAGGAAATTAATTTAGATACAGAAGCTGGAGTGATACAAATGTCAAGCAATAGATCAACCAGTTTGTCAGCTATATCAGGTAAGATGTGATAAGAGGAATCAAGAATGAGATTGATAGAAAGTTCTAAGCAAACAATTCAGCTTTGTCTTTAGACGAGGTAAGAAAATCTGGACCATGCATGAGAGATGGAATAACAGATTTGCTGATTCGATTAGAATAATGAGAGGAAAACTATGGATCAGGTTATCGTGGAGCATTTTATTCCCTCTTGACTTGAAATCGTCGAGAGGGAATAAAATGTTCAACGATAGCCTGAATCCAAGAAGTTACACAAGAAGCACATTTTTTAGCAGGAAGATGGAAGATTTCTATCCAAAAGCCATCACAAAGAAAATCACAGAAAGAGTCCCAGTCAGCTTTAAGGTAGTTGTAAGGGGTATGATGATAAGGGGATTCTGACGATGAAGAAGAATGAGATAATAGTTCTAGAGGAATCAAACTTTGCTCAGAAGCATTAAGGGTAAATGTGGAGAAACTGAGCACTGATATGGATCAGAAACAAGATGCAAGTTAAGTAGAGAAAGTAAATGATTTGGATTGTCTGGAAAGTGAATTGGAAAGTTGACTATTTTTGTTAAAGATTGAGAAAAGCAAAAGTTTTAGGCCTTAACGCCTGCAGAGTCATTGATACTAGACCCAAGCCACTGTGATGAGCATTGAAGCCACCAAAAACAACAATATTGGCAAAAGGATTAAGGAGGAAAGTTAATTTGTTTGGAAATAACATCGAAAAGAGTGCAGCCTTAAGATGAAGGAGAGCAATATAGAACAAATAGAAAGGTGATAGAGTAAAGCGGTGTTAAACAAAAGCACATAAAAGAATTTTCTGTGGATTCCAACCTAGTTTGCTGACACATGGGCAAATTCATATGAATGTAAATGCCCAGGCCAAGCTTGTGACTATTGGAATCTTTACAAACTAAGGGAAGATACCGATCAACACTGAGATCACAAGATTAGGTCACAGTTGAACTCAAATTAGTCTCACAAAGAGCAAGTAGGTCTGGTGAACTTTGCAGGAGATAAGACTCAACAGAGGAAAAATTACTTTGAAGACTATGAATATTAGTGATTGATAGATTTGGAGAACTTGGTGATGACAATGATTTTTTGTGTGTTACAGTTTTTGGTATTATTTTACTCAATTTTTGATTTGTTAAAAAGCTTGACACAAAGCATAGATAGTACTCATTACACTATCTAATAGTCCAAGCAATCGCCTCATTACTATTAACAAACCCTAAGCCATAACAAAGGGTTCCAAATGTGGCCTCAACATTAAATACGAAAAGTACGAACAGGGACACTACCCATGTGCAACATAGCACTGATAGTACTCTGATACTTTACAGCTATTAATGGAATCAACCTCTCTAAGAGCACAGAGTTTAGGAAACCTGATTACCAGCCAGCCTTAGAACCATAAAACTGAGTTATATGGCAACTCATTATTTTACCTCCCTTGTAAGGAGATAAAATAATGAGTTGCCAAGTCATAAAAACAGAAAAAAAAAAGACACAAGCAGAAAGCATGCAGTCAAGAAGATTCAGCATTCAATATTCTAATCAGGAAATAATGATTTATAAATACATCTATGCCAGCCTAATAGATGAAGAAGTAGTGCCAACCTGGTCAACAGATAGAATCTGTTTACCCCGTAACACCCCTTAATATCATAAATGTTAAACTAAAAATAAAGTAATATCATGATATAGAAGTACTAAAACACTGACTTGATTATATTTATTGCAAACAAAAAAGAGCAAAGAAAAAATCAAGAGAATAAAATTTATAAAGTAATGAAAAATACCTGATTTGTCAAATGTACATTAAGATCTAAATTTTCATTAGTGTAAGGTACACAAGTAACACGTGCATATCCTGTGTGGTAAAATGCAAGACAAGGTTGAACACTAGCAATAAGCATGTACACACGAACATCAAATTTACAGCCATGAATTAAAAGAGGGTTCATGAGGTATCTGGTAACAATAATAAAAAATTTTCTTTTTTCTGAAACAAGTTAATAAAACTTCTCTTAAAAACAAGTTAACTGTATTTTTTTAAAAACAAGTCAATTGACAATTTTTTTAATTAAAGAAAAAAAAAAACATTGAATTTATTCATTCTTTTTTTATTTACCTCTGAATAATCCAACATGGTTTAGAAAATACTGATGAAAGTTTTTCATCAATGATTTTTTTCTTAAACTGACTTAAGTCATCCACTAAAAAGATTCCTTTTCCTTGATTTCTGGATGAAGGTTTGCATATCCATAACTCACCTTCTGTAATCATAAACTATTCATATATTGTAATCTACATTAAAAAAATACATAGCTTGATTTAATCATTTGGTATCACAGGATCTAAACCCACCAAACTTAACAATTATGCTGAACTTGTTTCTATAATTCTAGACATGTCTTAGATCCAGAGATATTTTATAACATAAATTATTGCTATTATATATTATTTTACATAATTTTTTAATGGAAAAAACCCTTTACTACTTATATAAATAATAATAAAATAAAAAATAAAGCAATGAAAAATTAAATCTGATATGTACTTTTAATTGAAGGTAAAATTTATTGAGAATAATACGCACTTTTTATAACTTTTTTTAACTTTTATAATTGAAATTTTTTTTGAAAAAAAAATTAGAATCTTGAAAATTAAACCCACTATAACAAATTCTAATTATCAATTTTATATTTTGAGCATATTTTTTATATTATATGTTTTCAGTATATAACGCTATACTTTAAGTATTGAACCTTAGATTTTTAGTATATATAATGTTATAATTTATGTTTATAATATAATTTGAGTACATAACATTATAAAGTAATTTTCTAGGTTTTAAGCTACAAAATAAATGATGTCAAATAAACTTAATTCCATCTGACTCTAACTGTGTAACCTTGTTTACATCCCTAAAAAGTTTCATTGACCAAATGTTGACTACTCCAGTTTAGATGTCTTCTTCTTTGGTGTTGCAATTTTTCAGGTAAATTAATGGCTTTTAGGCTGGGCGTCTTGCAAACATTTCATGTTACAATCAACATTTTGTAGTTAAAATATTATAATTTATTTTATCAAAATGTTAAAACTGTTCATTTAAATCAATAACTGATAAATGGGGTTTTTTATCGGTCTTCCTGATTTATTTTGAATCTTTGTGGATCCCGTAAGTTCATACCTTTTTATAATTTGTTTATCAGTAGACTTACCGGCTCCTAAAAATTAGGATGTCTCACAAAACGAATTTCCATTTAAACTGATGCTCTATTTGAACTCACTATCAATTTTTTTTCACTTTAGATATTATACTTTTCTTATATCATGTGACCTCAATCACTTATAAATGAAACATTTTAATTATTTCCATAAAGTGTTTGTTTATAATATTAATAAACTAGCAATTTTTTGAAAAAAAATGATAAAAATGCTTCAGTATGTATGGTAATTTTTGAGATTGTTAAAAATCATTAATTTTTAATTCAATTAAATCACCATTTTAAATTATCAATATTCTTTCAAAATATAACAATAAACATGAAAGTTTTTTATTTGATATATAATGTATTAGATTTAGTGAAGTAAGTGCTGAAATATTAGTAAAATTCAATTTTATTTAGCCTGTCCGCAAATCTTTGGATGACACTGTATATATTTGATTATTAAATTTTAAAATTTATAATATAATAATATATATGTAATATATATTATTATATTATAATATTATAAATTAAATAATATAATAAAATTATAAAATTTAGAATTTCACAACATAGCTGTGAGTTGCTTGTCAAAAAAGAAACTTGTATGCAAATTTTTCTTGTCGACTATGAGTATTCTTAAACTTATTTATAACATCTATGACCAAAGATTAGCACAATCATGTGACAAAGTTGATAGATATATATATATATCCATATATCCATCAACTTTGTCACATGATTGTGCTAATCTTTGGTCATAGATGTTATATATATATTATATATATATATATATATATATATATATATATATATTATATATATATATATATATATTATATATATATATATATTATATATATATATATATATATATATATATATATATATATATATATATATATATATATATATATATATATATATATATATATATATATATATATATATATATATATACTGTTATTATGTTAAGCAAATATTAGACTTACTTTTAAATGTTTGAAAAAACATCTGACTCTCATGCGAAGAATCAACTAAATAAGTTTCCATATAAAAGTTATTTACTGAAAATTTTTTCCTGAAAAAAAGAATTGAACTTAATTGATTTAATTTCTGAATTTTATTTTTAATGATATCCAAGCAATAAAATTGTTACAAATATTACTGTTAAAATTATGGAAATCGTACCATTAAAAACTTACTTATCCTAACAATAAAAACTTAATAAACCTCCAAATATTATTAAATGAGAGAACAAATTATTAAATATTAAATAATTATTAAATGTTACAAAATACATTTATGGTTTCTACTGTTTTTATTCAAATAGTTTGTTACTTTAAATCATCACTATCCCTTTTGGAATAATAATAATACAGAAAAAAAAAGGGAAAAAAAAAAGATTAGATAAGAAAAATGTAATAAAACGAAGGTGCTAAAACCAAATATGTTAAATAAATGTTAAAAGTGATTTTCTCCTCAAGAGTATGGTTGTGTCACTGTGTTGTTTTAAAGAGGTTAACACTAGTCTCTTTATTGTCTCATCAAAATCATGATAAAGACCATTTTATGTTTCAGAAACCAGCGCCTACCTTATACACCACGTTCTACAGCTGTATATAGATCTTGCTACAAAGATGTTCAAAATATATTTAACCTTTTAAATCAGTTGCAAACATTTTTATTGTGCAAAAAAGAAACCTCTGCCCTTGATTGTAATGAGGTGTCCAGAGAAAGTGACACTTTAGGTGACACCAATGATAAGAAATTTTCCTTAAAAGCTGTTTAAATTAAAACTAATGAGAAACTTTTGAAAAAAAAGTAATGGAGATGATGCAGTCAAACCGCTCTCGCTGTCACTAATGCCAAACCTATTATTAAACCACTACCATTTTAGTATACAATACTCCATAGTTCTATTAAATAACTTAATATTACATAATTTAACAAGTTTAACAAAGTATAACTCTAAGATAATTTTTAAAGATTTTTTTTCAAAGTGGCAAGATTATTTAATGCTATTATTTTTTATTAGTTATTACTACAATTATTATTTTTATTACTATCATAATTATAGATTATTTAATATTAGTTTGTTATATAGGTACGAACTTCAGTAGAATTTGCTTGTTGCATTAATTTCACGATGAATGGAGTTCTAGCGCCTTCTTTCAGAATTCAGAACTCAGAAAAGTGTAAAAGTATTTTAACTTTTAAAGTATTTAAAGTTAATTTTATTCTCTAGATACTTTACTTAACTATTAATTTTGTAAACTGAATTTTAGATACTAAGTAAAATGAAAAGTATTGCAATAATAAATAACAAATTAATAAATAAATCACAAACTAGTAAACAAATAAATCAAAATTAATAAACTTATTTAGAAACATAACAGTTTTAGACAAATTTTATCATACAAAATTGCCTTTACTCAGGGTTGTTTTTGTACTTGTCTTTAATAAAGCCAACAATAAATTATTTTTTGGAAATTTTCATTAAATAAGATTGACTACACAGTAGTCACAGAAGCAGTTCATATATACACATCAAAAGACTTGGATGATTGTATCATCCTTACAAATATTTCTTTGACAGAAAATAAGAAAGTATTATAGGTTTAGAAAAAGATACAATGATGGAATAACTTAAATATTACGTTTTTAATCTGGTACAATTTAAAAAGCAATTTCAAATTTATTTTTTTATTTTAATTCACCTCCTCAAGGCCAAGAAGGCCACTACAGACAAGGAGGCTACTTATTTGTGGTTATAACCCTCTCTCAACTCTATAACTCCGAAACACGAACCTTGACGAACAAGGCTGCTGCGCGGAGAAACGAGTTGAGTGCGGTACTACCAGGGACGTAGTGGGGATCCAACTTGGAACCACTTGTTTATGAAGCGAGCGCTCTACCACTACACCACTACCGCATAATAACATTAAACTTAAGCCTCAGCATGGCACTCATTGCAATCGGCTTCAGAAATACCAACAAATACAAAAATTCCTTGTGGTATTATGCTTTTAAGCCATTGTGAAAATAAGATTTAGGTAATTTAGAAATATTTTAGGAAATGTCTCATTGTTAAAAAATTTATAGATATAAAATCTATATTTGAACAAGTGACAGAAACAACTGAGACAGCGGGTTAGCAAAAAAAGAACTGTAAGCTTTACATTTAGTGTCCAAGAAATATTATAATATAGCTTGTTTAAAATTACATGGCATTTACTTGCAGATAAATATATTGAAAAAGAGAAAGATCTCTTAAATGTCAAAAATGATTGATGAATCGGATGTTTATTTTAGTAATAATCAAAAAATAGTAGATCATTGCAGAAAAGTTCCATTTTATTTAAAATCACAATTGTTGCTAAAAATACAAAAAAAAACACTGTCTTATGTCTACAGAAGAATAAACTAATAATTTAAAGTTTCTACTTAACTTGGAAAATCCTCACAACAATCAAAATCACCTACAATAACTTTTTTATTTTAGTTGTTAAGCTGTTCCAAGAAGAACTAAGCGTCTTATTATAAAGCACCCTGGAAGAGCAATTTAACTACAAAGTTTATACCTCCATCCTTACCAATGTGGCTCATCTGGTCAGAGCCAACATTGAACTTTAGACCTCATGATTCTGAGAAAAAAATCAAATCACTGTACCATGGTTACAATGAAGTTATTTTGTGTTTGCACTAGTAATTGTTACACAAGAATTGTTAAATGTTAAAAGGGCAGAAGTCCAAAAAAACTTTATTTTCCCTGTGTAAATTTTTGTAAATTTTTGTTAATGGTTTAATAATTTTTTTTTGGTGAAAAACATAATCCTCTTCAAAAAAAATTTATTAAACCATTAACAAAAATTTAATATGGGGAAAAATGCAGGGTTTTTTTTTCAGTTTTCTGAAAGTTAACATTTTCGGATTTCTCTTGCTTCTCCTTGCAGTGGCCATATTTAACAAGATTCTTATTTCAGAATTTAGGGTTGAGAAAGAGTTTTAAACAAAATTGAAAAAAAAAAGGTAGCCTCCAACTTTTCTGAATGCAGAAGAGGTGAATTTAATAATTAAACAAAAAGAAAATATAAGTAAACTTTAAATTTCTATAAAATACTTATAATTAAACACAAATTTAAAATAAAACATTACTTAAGTAACTTTTGATTTTTTTCATAATCTCTTAATGTTTTTAACAATCCAATTTTTGTTGTTAAACAAGATGCATTTTGGATATGATTAACAATTTGATACCCTAAAATAAAAAAAAAGGTTAAATAAAAGTTAAACTATTTTTAGTTGCATCAGATGCAATTGAATTATGTGCATTAGTTGAATATGAATGGATATATATTTGTTTTGGTTAAAGAAAAATTGATTTGGATCTGCATTTGCAAACATAATTTACTATTTTTTGTGTGCTTACAGTAAATTTATAATTTACTGTAAGCACACAAAAAGTGCTTCCTTATCGATATTTCATTATGCCGTTGGCTAATATGTCTGTAGTAGGAACTGAGTTACTCTAAAGCTTTTTACTTAGATTAATATTGTTCCAGTTTTAAAACTTCCAAATAAAAATTGGAATTTTTATTTGGAAGTTTTAAAACTGGAACAATATTAATCTAAGTAAAAAAGCTTTAATTTAATAAACAAAAAAACAAACAGCAAACACAAAAATTGAAAATAAAATTAACTTATTCATTTTCTTATCATTAATTTAGCAATCAAAAAATCTTTAAAATACAATTTATTAAATGTTTTATTGAACTTACCTTTTAAAATAAGTTTATTAAACTTAACTTTTTAATTATCTTTGGCAGCCATTATATGTTCTTTATTTTTTTTAAAGCTGAGTTTCATTTTTTAGTATTTGAAAAGTACTTGGTACTCTTGCATGCTTAATACACAGGAGAAGATGTTTATTATTTTCATAAAATTTTCCCAACTATGCCAAGCTTATCAAGTCCCTACCCCCCCTGCCCTTGTTTATTAATTTTTACTTCTTACTAAAAAAAAAATCATCAACTTATAAAAAAATTATATTAGTTGTGTAAGAATGAGTTTGGATGTAAATTGGTTGAGTAAGAATGAATTTTGATGTAAGAATAAGTTAGTACATTGTAAAATATTTTACCTTCTTTGAATTTATCGTAGTTTATAGATTTTTTGCATTCAACCCATTTAATGAAAAAATTATTACTATCATCAGTTAACTTCATCCCGAGTTTTGTTAAAGCATTTTCCAATCTAAAATATTAACTAAATAATAAAAAATACTAAATACTAAATACTAAATTGCAAAAATCAAATAATTCCTCAAAGATACTCTCCAGTTTTTTAGTAAAGTTAAAATAGATACTATTTCACTTTTTTTTCTAAAAATATTGAAAAAGACATAGCTCATGATTAAAGCCATAACAATTTGGAATATCTTCTGCTATTATAATATAAATATTATAATAGCAAAAGATATTCATATTATATAATATCAACTGGTTTCTCTTGTGAATAACAATTCTAGAAAGATTTTTAAACAGAAGAATATAACTAGGAATAAAAATGCATGTTTTAAATATAGCTTTATAATATTGACTAATTCGGCCTGATCAAAATTGATTGGCAAGAACTGCAAGGCAAACTTAATTGTAAAAAATTTAAACATTTTAAAAAACAAAAACATAAAGTTGAAATTTTTGTATTATTGGAATAAAAATAGTTTTGAGACCATAACAATCTTTAGTTTACAGTATAAAAAAAGTGCAAAAATACTATTAAATAAGCAAAAATACAGAATGATAAAAATTACAAAATATTTTTGATAAACAAAGTTTGAGATCATAATTTTTTTATCAGACTTAAAAGTCTGATAAAAAAAACCTAATTAGTTAATTAAATATTAATGATAACTAGTTAATTAAAAATGAATGATTTGAATGAGATTAATTTGAAATAATAACTATTAATGTTACAATTTCTTTTAAAGTCCAAATAATAAATATAACAATCATAAGAATTTGAAAATAGTCTTAATGAATTTTAAACTTCATTTATTGTTGAGATTCTTTTAAAAAACTATAAAAACTCATAGTTAGTTTATTTTAGCTTTGACTGTGAAATACCTGACTTTATTTTAATTGGAAAATACCATTTTCTAAAGCATTAAAAATATTTTAAAAATATTTGTAATAATTTTTATTTTTATATGTAATAATTTTAATTATAATATTTGATTGACTCAAATCTCACAAAAAATTTAAAATTAAAAAAAAAGTAAATAAAAAAAATTGCAGATCTTTAAAAAACTTAATTTAAAGGTCACAAATCTGTTAAAATTAAAATCAATTGTTTAATTAAAAGTTGTTATAAATTAAGTTAAACAGAGCATAAAATTAAATTGAAATTACAGAATAGATTAACATTAAGATTAAGTTATGATTAAATATAACTAAATTGTATGAGTTAATTTTACTCTCAAACATGTTGATATTATCGAAATTAACAAAATCAAAGCAACTGATTCAAAATGTTAATAACTTAGTGCGAGTAACATTATTTGTAAATATCTAGACAAAGTTGTTGTTTGCAGATCTTTTATTTATGTCCTCGCATGTTATTTTTGTTTGCAGATTTTATGTATATATCCTCATTGTTTTTGTTAGCAATAAAAAAAAAAAATACAGTTTGCTGCAGTGCAGGATTATTTTCAAAAAATCAGAAAAAAAGTCGAAAAAGATGATTGAACAAAAAAGATTATAAAATAAAAGCTCATTAACTATGCATAATTTCATAAATTACGCATAAATTCATCTTTAGAAATATCAAGCAGCACATGCACTCATAAAATGGAATTCCTACAAAATAACACTATTAAACAAAACTAAAAAAAATGCTCAATTATTAAAACATAATATCAGTATAAGTAAAGAAAAAAATTGTTTGGAAAAGGAATAGGCTCTACTAATGCATGGAAATAAAAGTTATAAGTTTTTCCTAATCATCATCAACTAAACTTAAAACTCCCAGCTGAAACGTTATTCAAGCGTTTAATTTAGTTCAAATTTTAAGTGATTAAATATTAAAGAATCAAATTATTTATCATATATCAATATGATAAATGCTTAAGCAACATATTGATACAAGCAAAAATTTAAAGAAAACCATCTAATGTTTTAACAGAGAAAATGTCTCTGATACAAACTAACACAATCTGATTTCTTTTCACATTTAATTCACACTTAATTCTGAAATAAGAAATCATTCTGAATACGAAAATACTTTGAAAATCAGAAATCATTCTGAATAGAAAGAATCAAATGTTTTACATGCTTTGAAAGTTCTCATGCCATAGAATGACCTTAAGCTACCCTTTCAGCATTTTAATTAATATTATTGGCCAATAAAATAATATATATTTTTTACGCATATATTAGTGTAGTGTAGCTAATATATAAGGTAAAAATAACTAAAAACTAGCTTATAAATAAAACTAAAAGTTTATATTAAAAGTATCATATCTAACAATTGAAAAACTTGTAAGGCTGAAATTTGTCAATTTCACATCAAAAGGGCATCAAAAACCCAGTTCCGCCTCTGGCTGAGTTCAAGATCTGCTGGTGGGTTCATCAAAACTGCTACAATATTTTACTACTGTTATAGTAGTAAAATATTGTAGCAGTTTCTTGAAGTCGTCTAACGATAAAGATTTACTGGATTCAGGTTGGTAGAACCTTTTTGGGATATGTACCCTTGTTGAACGCTTTAAACCTCCTACAACCTCGGTATTCAATGGGGGCAGCAATGCTAGATGAGGTGTGTTTATTGATGGGGTATTGGTGTAGGTTACAGCAGGGGTACTGATGTTGTTGGCAGAGGTGATGGTGATGCTGTTGGTACAGATATCAGGGGCGATTGGAGTACTGCAGATGGTGATGGTTTTGGTTCAGATGATGTGTCTTTGTTAGATTCTGAGACATACTCTGTGAATTGTGGCAAATCCACAAATTTATTATGATTAAAACTGGTTCTTAATGGTTTACTTAACGCAACTTCAATTTTGTGTGGTTTTAATGGGTTCAGAAACTTTCTTAAAAATTTTCTATTTCTTACTGTTAGTTTACCTGTTCCTTCAACTTTAATGACAAACAGGTCATTTTTTTTACATTCGACAACTTTCCCACTGCGATACCATTTTTTAGGGTGGTTCCCTACTTGATTTTGTATGAAAACATTATCTCTTTTGTATAGTGGTGCAAGGAAACGTGTATGTTCTTGAAGTGATTCAAGGGTCTTTGCATGTTGTTCATAATGCTTCTTCTTTTGCTGATCAAATAATTAACTAACGTGTCTCTATGTTTTTAGGAATTGGTCATTATCAAACACAGGGGTTCTGGTTTTTATCCTGGGCATGGCGTCGCGAATGGGTTAGCCAAATAACACTTGAGCAGGGGACAACTGAAAGATAGGGTCTGATGTGTTTCTAATTGTGAGCATTGCCCTCATGAAAACTTTATTATTTAGATCACCATTCGGTCCCACATTATTTTCTAGGAGGCATTTTGTTGATTTAACTGCAAGTTCTGCTCTTCCATTAGATTGTGGGTGATGGGCAGATGAAATGCTATGAGTTGTACCCCATTATTGTAGAAAATCTTTTGTTTCTCCAGAAGTAAATTGAGGACCACCGTCGGTAGATATTTCCTCTGGGACCCCAAACGTTGATTAGACCTTTTGCACTTACTTCTGATGTTCCTGATTTTATTCTGTAGGCTTTGGTCCAACCGGAGAGTCTCCAATAACCAGATAGTTCCAGCCACGGAATTCAAAATAGTCAGCAAATAGGCATTTAAATGGAGTTACAGGGATGTGAGGTTGGATGGGTGGTAGTCGTGCATTAAAAGCTGCATTTTGATTACAGGTGCAACAGCCATCACTCTTATTTTGTATGCTGTAAGTGATACCCGGCCAGAAAACAGTAGCTTGAGCTCTGACTATCATTCCTGATACTCCTTGGTGTGCTAAGTGCAGTACATTCCAAAATATCATTTCGTAAAGTGGTTAGGATTACAATTCTGTCATAGTATATTATAACTCCATCTGACACCATCAAGTCTTTGCAGTATTCCCAGAATAGTAAAAGGTTTGGTGAGAAATTATTTTTATCTTTTGGGAAGCCATTTTCTATTGCTAACACTAATGTTTTAAAGTCAGTGTCCTTTTCTGCCTCTGTTCTGACACTTTCCCATGTCACTGTAATCATTTTATCTAGATCGTTTCGCATCGAGACTATTATTAGGGATTCTGTGTTGTCAAAATCGATGTTTTGATCGCAGGTGGCTAAATTAACGAGTTCATTCATGCTCTCTGCTGGATAATGAGAAGTAGCATCCGCCACCAGATTTGTTTTTTCCTGGTTGGTGCTGGATGATAAACTTCCATGGCAAGGTTCTCTGTTTTAGTCAGAAAAGTTGTGTGTTAAAAATTTCATCTAGGGTCCTATCTCCTAATAATTTGAAAAGCGGTTTATGGTCAGTTACTACCAAAAGGTTATCACACCCTTGTGTAAAATATTTAGTCTGCTCCAGACTCCAAGCCATGCCTAGCATTTCCCCATCAACTAGGGCGTATAATTTTTTAGCAGATGACAAGAATCTGGGCCCGGCAAGAGTGATTTTCCGTCTATACAGCAATCTGGGGAGTCCGATTTACATTCACAATGTTTTTGGCTTAGGTAATACCCTATGCCCGATTCCGACAAGTCGCTTCTCAAGCAGATCTTCTGCTTGAGAAGCGACTTTTAATGTCGAATATTTGGACCCCATTTTTTATTGCGTTGATGATCTTTTCCTTTGATACACTGAATGAAGTGTTGAGATCATCTGACCAATAGAATTTTGATTTGGAACTGAGCAGAGCTTTAAATGGGGCTATGACTTCTTGAAGTTGGGCGTAATGTGATACTTGGTTAACTAAACCGAACCAAGATCTTATGTCAGTTATTGAGGATGGTGTTGGAAATGATCTGATTGTGTCAATATATTTGGGCAGTGGTTCAACTCCATTTTTAGATTTTTTAAAACCTGCAAAATCTACTACTCTTTGAGCAAATTGGAATTTTTATGGAATTAAAAGAATTTCAGTTTTACCAACAAGTTCGAGAAATTCAATTGTTCGCCACCAATGCTTAACTAGTTCATCGTCGTAGTGGAGGGAGTCATCTACACATCTTTGTTTGCGACTAAAATCTGCCACAATTTCATCAAAACGCCTGTTGTAGCCGTCCCCGCTGCAGACAAAACTTTGAGGACCTCGAAGGTATCTGTAGCGTCCAAAAGGTGTGATGAAGGTAGTAAAATGTCTATCTTCATTTCATATCGGGACGCTATGATAACCATTCCATGCATCAGTTACAGTTTTCCATGAATTTCTTGGGACTGAATGAGCTAGTTGGAATGGAGATTTTATTGCATGGGTTTCTCTGTAGCAATATTTGTTTAATGGAGATAGGTCAACAGTGCGACAAGGCTTGCCATCGTGATTGCGCGTGATGACCATTCTTTGGCAACATGTTGTAGGTTCTCCTAGAAGAACCTTTTCAATAACTCCAAGAGATTCATCACAAAGTAAATCTTTCTCCACCTGGTCTTGCCAATGGATTGATATAGTAGCTGAAGTGAATGCTGCTACTGGTTTGACATTGTCCTGGATTAAAATACTAATTGGTGGCCCCTCCATGTCAGGTAGTATCTGGTGTGGGCATGTGTTGAATGTTGAAGCAGAGTATCTTTCAAGAAGACAAGTTTTCATTTGTTCGTTGTTTACAGGGGAGCAATCAAAAAGAAATTTAGTGGGTGCACTTGGTGGGAGACTTCTTTTGGGGAAATCGCAGGTGTGTATTGTGTTGATTTTGCTCAGTATTTTGTTCCCTTTTGTCTGAGAGCCTGAGCTAATAGCTCCATGGAGGGCACTACCAATCTCTGGAAAGTTTTTAGAGATGATAACCAGTTGGGTCATTGCCTCTTTAGATAAGTAGAATCCGTTTGCATCTGAACTTATATAAACCATTACTGCACATTCGACTTTGTTGCCATTTGGTTGTTGTCCTTCAAGACATACAAAAATCACACATTCAATACAAAATTAGGTTTTGTTGGCAGCAGACATGATATATTTCACAAGTATTAAATTTTTTGCTTTAAAACCTGCACTATCAAACCCTTTCCTGGACCATAGGCAAGACTGTGCACCAGTATCTGTAATGACTTGTAGATTAACAACATTAACAGCATCATCATTAACACGAATCCGCTGGCCTCAGCATCTTTAGATCCATTCAGTTTCATATCATTTGAGATAATTCTGTTGTTGATTTTAGAATTGTGAGGTTTTGTGTTCCGTCCTCTAGATGATTTGGTAAATAAACTATAAGATTTTGAGCGATTTGGGCATTTAGCTGTAACATTGGTCTCTTTACTACCATGTGTATTGCCCTTATTTTGTTTCCTGAAAGATGATACACTTGCTGTTGTTGTACTACAGCCTAGTGCATTCCGTGCTATTTCCTTATCCTCGATAAAAGCAATGATATCTCTTATTAAGGCTGTGTCAAGAGAGGCCCATCAAAATACATCTTTACACATGTCAATGTCTGATATTCCAGCAACAACAATGTCTCGTATGATGGCGTTGGTAAATTCAACGGTTGTTTGTGGGTGGCAGTGGCATTGTACAATGCAGTTGCAATTAGCTACCTTGCCCTTTATTTTTGCATAGAATGACCGAATTTTTTCGTTGTGTCCCTGTCTCATTTGAAGGAGTTTTGTTCTTCTGACACTAATAGTCACTGGGATAACAGCCAGTTTTTGCAATTGCTTCGCTGGGGCCTTTAATGATGACTTTGCATCCTGGAGCCTGGCAAGGTAAGCTTATTGTGGACATATTGTAGAAGAGAAAAAGGTTATCAAAATTCTACCTTCTTGTGCATACATTAACAACTTCAAACAAAATAACATAAAGGAGTTACGATGTCAAACTTTGTCAATATGTTTTTATCTTTTGTAATACCAGTGTTTCTTTGAAATTCCATTGGATACATGGATCAACTATCTTATATCCTGCTGCTACAAGGAAGTGCTGCTAAACCGACTGAGGGTTTGGCGTGGGACAGCAATCTTTTTTCTTTTATTGTTTCAATTAATATTTCTCATTTTTTATTGTTTCAATTAATATTTCCTCCTCTGACGAGAGCGCAAAAGCGAAAAAATTAAATATTCCACGCCGCTTAACTGCAGATTTACCTAAATGGTAATAAAAAGTTTAGTCTAAATTAAACCCTAGAGTATTATTTTACAAATCAATTTTATACATCATGTATCATGTAAAAATCATCATACATTATTGTCATGTAAGAATTATGTATTACATGATTCTTAAGCAACTTAAAATTTGTATGGTAATCAAATATAAAGTGGTAAAATTAGAGAGGCATAAAAATTGATTGATAATTCTGGTTCTAATTAATTCAGGTCATTAATTAAACTCGTACATCTGTTTACCATTGTGACCTCCAACATAAAATCTTCTTTCTTTTTCGATGGCAGTGATTAAATGTTTTGTTTTTGTGCCTGATAGATCTGCACCAAATACATTTTTTTCTGCAGATATATTTTCACAGATCGAATCTTTCTTTTTTTCTTCTAGACGTAAAAGAAAAAATTGTAAAATATCATTCTAACATAAACTTTATAAGTATTATTTTTATTGTTTTAAAAGTATGATTTTAGAAAAAAAGTTTACTATCAGACTTGGCAGATTTCATATTTATACCTTCCCGTTTTTGCGTTTGTTTATGTTTAGATAATTATAAAACAATGCGTTGATTTTCACGGCATTTTATTTCGGTCGAAATAAGTTAGATTTGAAGCGGAATTTAAAAACAATAGCCAAGGACATATATTTAACTTATGTCATTGGTTATTTTTTTTAATATATGTATATAATATATCATTAACAATTATACTTTAAAAATAAACACAAAATAATGTGGGTACATTAATTGAATGACGCGAGAAGTTGAACTACTTTTGAATTTTTTAGTTTTTACAAATCATCTTTAAAGTAGAAAAACTTTTTGAAACTTATACTTTCTATGGAAATCAACTTCAGCTCATATGTCTACCGGCTTTTTGTAACACATTCTTCAACTTTTAGATGCTGTTAAAAAAGGTTTGGCGCCAAATACACGAGGAATTTTCATAAACTACTCTCGAGCCTTAATAAAAAGGGGGGACTTTTATTATTTTTGTAAAATTTCCCCCTCGTTTATTAATTTTTACTTATTATCAGCAAAAACTTTATATCTCAAAACTAAAAAAAAAAATCCGTGAAAACCGCCCTTAAAAATTATAAAATAATTCCTTCAGTCACTGACAAAAAATAAAACCTAGTAAACCTTGATTTGTCGAAAATTAGCTTTTGGTTTATTTCTCATCATAGTATAAAAGCTATAACATGTTATTTCGATAGGATTTCAATTTCGATAGGATTTAATTTCGATAGGATTTAATATGCTGTTAACAGCATATTAAATCCTATCGAAATTGCTGTTAGAAAATGCGCATTTTAAGCCACGCTAGAATTAAATAGTTTATTTAATTCTAGCGTGGCTTAAAATGCGCATTTTATTAGAAATAAAAAAAAAAATAATATTTTTGACTCAGCACATTCATCTAACTAGATTTTGACTCTGTAAAAAATTTCAACTTAAGATATTATTTCAAACTAAAGATATCTTTGTTAGAAAGTAGAAAATTTGTAAATGGAGAAAAACGCAAAAAACAAATATAATAAACACAAAAAAACAATAAACAGTTCAAGTAAAAGAACCAGAAGCATAGCATTCGCCCTCGTTTTCTGTTGTGTTATCATTGTAGTCTTTTTTAATTGATCTTAGTTTTTTTCTTCGTTTTTTGACTAGCTCTGCTGACTTTTTGTTCATCTCCCTAACGCGTTTAACATCAATATTTAGAAGTCCTTTCAAAGTATACTTTCCTGGTACAATACCAATCTTGGAATATATAGGGAGTAGTCCCTGGGAACCTTCATTGAAGCAAATGACAGCAGATGCTGCAGCCATCTCTAAAGAATCTTTTCCTGTAAGAACTCTTTTCGAACATTTGGTCCATATCATGCCATTCAAAGATTCATTAACACTTTGAGTTTTACCGTGCAAACATTTTTCCAGCAGCTTTTCGTTTGCAAGATCCTGATATGAAAAGATTGGTTTAAGGATATTTGCAACTGCTTGAGGAATATTTATATTGAACTTATAAGTATTTTTGCCTGTGACTAGGTCAGAGTTATATTTGCACCAAGATTTGGCTCCTATTGGACAGAGTTCATGACGTTTCTTTGAGTCATCATTTTCACAACAATGAAAAATTATAGCACCAACCGCTTTTTTTATTTGGTAAAGGCTATCAGTGTTTTGGCGTATTGCCAAACCATAATAATTCTGTAGCCTATTAATTACTTTGTCAGTAAGGCGACCTTTACCAGACAAAGGTTTACCATCTGATAACAGTTTACCTCGATAGTTTATTCGCAAAGTTCTTAACCGTGCACCACATCGCTTTTGTACATGGCCTACACATTCTGCTTTTTTTATTTCAAAGCCTGGATAAGGATCTGATGCAACAACTCTTTGGTATGACTTGGTATCACCATCACCAATGTAAGTAGTGTATCGTAAATTTCGATTAATTACTGAACGACCAAAAATCTTTATTGCACCTTCTACTTCCATAGCGCTAGAGCTGTCTACATGGTTGATTTTACAGTTGTGGCTAAGTTTCCACAATTTGTAGTCAACTGAATCTTGTTTTTCTTCCCAAAAACTGCAAGACTTACACATTTTGGAAAGTACTTCAATTTCAACACACTTTCCGTTAGATATGAGGGTGACTACACCATTTAGAGATGTATACCCACAACGTTGCCATGATCCATCTGTACTTGCAGATACATTGACAACAGCATCTTTATGGTAGGTATCATTGAGCACATCTTTTCTGATTTCAATTGCTGCATTTCTCATTGAGTTTTCTGCTACCTCAACATATGAATTCTGTAAGTTCTTGTTTGCAGTTTCAAATGACTTCGAATTCATTGGTGGAGGCATATTCATAATAGAACAAAACCTTTTCATAGCAGTATAACCACAACCTATCTCACGAAAAGCCATTATTAACAAGTAATTTACTTCATAGGATTTACGACCATTTATTCCATGATCCTCTATAATTGGTTTAGAAGTTAAAAAATTTGTATTCCAATCACATTCGTTGCACGAGAGAAAGAAAATGTGAGCAAGTCCTTTTTTGTTTTCCATGTCATGAAAAACTTTAATTTCAGCTGTGCAGTTTGGGCACCGACCAATCATGCTAAGTAAATTAATTAGCAAATTTGAATTCACAATTAAATTTAAGTTATCATTACAGGCTTCCTTTTGAGTTGTGTTTTTTACTTCCAAAAAAGACAAATCGATTTTGTTAGAAGAAGCTGATGTATGTGGAACTGTTGGTGAATCATCTGGAGTAATGTTGATGTCTAAAGATTTACTTTTATAAAAACGTCTTTTCTTAGCTCTAGCTTTTTTATATCTGTTTTCAGATCCCATATTACAATAACATTATCAACATAAATGCCTAATAACTCTGGTTAACAAACAAGATTTTTTCAAAAACAAATTATGTTACTAATACAAATACGGTCTTATTTAGTGTTTTTGGCAGCTGGCATTTAGCTTGGGAAAAACTTTACAGTGTAGATAACAACCTGGTTAAGGTATAGTAAAATTTTGGAACTGCCTATTAGTTCTGGAGAAAAGAAGTTTTAACTGTTGCTAAGGGCGTTGCTAAGGAACTTTTGGATGTTTGCCCTATTTTAAGGAACAAAATTAGGGCAAATTTATAAACTTTTCTTCAATTGTTATTTATTTTTATTATTTATAAAGGTTAAAACTTCAAAAATATAGATTTTTTTTTTTTTTTTTTTAGACTTTATTTAGTGGGTAGCCACCTTAAGACAAATAAAAAATTTTTTAAAAATAAAAATAGTTTCTTTCATTCATAACTAAAACAAACAAAAAAAACTACTTTAAGGCATAAAAAAATAAAGCGAATTAGTTTGTGTTGTTTTTGAAAGGAAAAAAGTTATTTTTTAATTACATTAAAGTTTTTAAGGTTAAGTTTAAAACTAATTTAAGAAAAAATAACTCTAGAGTGCATTTTCGATGTGGCAAACTTATATGGTTAAACTTTTCTTTTTATTTTGTAATATAACGTTTTATATTGTTGTGAACATAAGGCTGGGGCGAAGGAGGGAAGGGGAAGGGTTCTCTACCCATCGATGATTTTTTTGTTCATTTAATCGCCAATTTAGACATGTCATTTGGCAAGTGTAGACCTTTTAGACAAGCAAGTTGGTAAATTTAGACAGTCAGTCGGCATATCGCGACGCTAGAATTATCTTGTTCTATCTCCACTTTTTGAAAAAATTGAGTTATTGATAGTGTTGTGTGCATAAGAACAATGTTTTTCTACTGTATTGAAACCTAAGTTATAAGTAAAAAAGTTGCAGAGAAAACATAAGTCATAGAAAAAATTTTATATGCCGCCTCCTAAAGTCTTTCTTTTTTAAACTGTTTTATCTCAAAATTCTAAAATGTGGAATAATAAAATAGAATAAGATGAACGTCGCGAAATGTTGACTAGTGAATTGGCAAATTTTAAAAAACGAGGATTTTTTTTTAGTCGGCAATTATTGTAATGGTAACACGTCCCCTCACCCCCACCCCCACCTACGAAGCACTTACTCGCGCCGGCCCTGTATGAACGAGGAAGTCATATTAAGACAAATTGTTTATTGTTTATTTTTTGACGTTTAATAATATATGCATATAAATATAAATAAATATTGGCAGGGCAAGAAGAAGACTTATTTAGCCTTAACACCGAGCCCCATTCTCACGTAAAAAGTTAATAAATACAGAAATTACTAAAGTTGTAAATCAGACCGTACAGCTAAAAACAACGCAGATCGAAGCAAGCAAATTAAATGATGCACGACAAAAAAAAAAATTAGAAAACTAGAAGATAGGAATAGAAGAAACAATATTAGAATTGACGGTGTGCGAGAAAATGAAAAAGAAACATGGAATCAAACTGAAAAAAAAGTTCAACAAACATTTAATGATCAGTTAAAAATAAGTAACATTATTATTGAACGAGCGCACCGAAAGACGCTTTAACGCAGAGAAAATAAAGAATAAACCCAGAACAATCATACTCAAACTGTTAAATTATAAAGACAAAGAAAAAATTTTGGAAAACGCAAAAATGCTGAAAGGTACAGGTATTTTTATTAATGAAGATTTTTCATTTGGAACTAACAAAATAAGACGCGAATTAAGTGAAAAAATGAAAATTGAGCGTAACGCTAAAAAATATGCTAGTATTGAGTACGATAAGTTAATAATGAGAGAGTTTAATCTAAAAGCTAAATAAGTAATTTTATTTTTTATTTATGTTTCAAAATTTTATATAAAACCATGTATAAAAATGGGGCAAAACTCTATATTTCAATTTTCTAACGAAAATATTAATGATAATGACACTGAAACAGACTGTTTTGACAAATTGAATTTTGAAAGCAAATACTACTCAGTTTACCAATCTGCACTATATCTTAAAAATAACAAAAACGCATTTTCAATTTTAAATATTAACATTCCAAGTCTAAATAAAAACTTTGAAAATTTAAAAATTTCCTTAGACGAAAAATAAA